TCCCGTCCCGCACCGCCCCTGCCTCTTCCCCGGGCGGCGGGACCGCGGCGGCCTGAGCCCGGGCCGCCCGCTGCCGTAGCGGTGGTCCTGGAGCCGCCGGGTGAGACCCCCCCCGACGGCGGAGGGGGCGGCTCGGGCGCCTCCACAGCCGCTGTGGGGGCCTCGGGGCTCCTCGCGTCCGAGTCGGTGGTGTCTGGTGCGGTTACGGTCCGCCTGTCTCGTTGTAGGTCGGTCCTCGCCGCTGCCCCTGCAGCACCTCCTGGATAGCTACCAGTGCAGCCAAGAAGATGACCACCTCTCTCACGGGGAAACGGGCGTGCCGGTCCCTCCTTTCGGCTGCACCTTTTCTTCAGGTAAAGTCACCTTCGAAAGGCCCTTTTAGGGGCCAGGGTGTGGGCACCGCTCGCTGTCAGCTTTTTTGTTGTTGTTGTTGTTGTTGAACTGTGTCTCATGATTTGGTTTCAGAGTTTCTTGTTTTAAAGTGAGCTGGTAATAGTGTACTTGCACCTAGATGTGATCTAGATTGGGTCATGGTGCTCCTAGGTATACCGGTGGCAAGCATTCCCTTAAAGAAGCACTACAAAGCATTTATTTTGTCTCTGTTGCAGCTTTGTCTGTTTCAAGGTATGTCCTCTTGGTGACAGTGCTAGGCTACATCGGTGAAAAATTGGGCTTTGTTCAAAGTATGTGAAAGATATACCAGGGTGGAGAATAGTATGCAGAACTCAAAGAGGTGGATGGATGTCACTGGACTGTTACATGTAGCGTTTCCCCATGATAAATACATGATAAGCGAAGCAAGCGTGGAAGCTTCTGGATCTTTAGGGCAAAACTCTTTAATTTATAGTACTCTAGTTTTGGTGTGAGCTTATACGTTTCTCCAAGGCAGCTTCCTGCTTTTCCAACTCAGATCCATAGAAAGTACTGGAAATTGTAGATGATAGGTAGTATAGATACAGAAAACTCTTAACTAGAGAACTATTACAGCTGGTGAAAGAGGCCATCATCTCAAAAGTTGCTCCTTGAGCCATTTGATTGCCCATGTATAGTAGTTCCTGAATGGAACACCTAGAAAAAATGCTGGCCAATATTTCTGCATTTTGAACATTTAAATTGCTATGTAAATACTGTTTATTTCACAGCTATCTATTTCCTGTGTACCCTATTTAAAGTGTCTGTGGCCCTTCACAAAGAGCAGGGGCATGATTATGAATCAGCTCCATAATACACAAATACGTTTCAATTTCTTTTCAGCCCCGAATTTGGAGCATATACTGGCAGTCGCAAATGAAGAAGGATTTGTTAGACTGTATGATACTGAAGCTCAAACTACCAGCAAACTCATCTTTAAGGGTAAATGTTATATAGAACCTGATCTTCATTTGATGTGACAAGTACATGATTTACCAGAACCAAAGAAAGGTTTTTGCGAGTCCTTTAAACATAAATGTGGGCAGTACTTAAATCCTTTCATATACTTCACTGAGTCTTCTTTACAAAGCAGTAGCATGAGTGTGCTCTTAAATGGCAGTAGTAGGTGAATTGTTCTGCATTGTTTTTCATGCCTAAGGCAAGCTGTTGACAAGTTTTCTGGTTTCAGTGTCTGATGTTCTTTAGTCTTCTGCAAAATATCATGCTGCGATGCACTGAACTAATCTTGGCTTTTGTTTTCTTGTTAGAATGGCAGGCTCACTCAAATGCTGTATTTGACCTTGCCTGGGTACCAGGGGAACAGCAGATTGTAAGCAGTCTTTTGCCATCTAACTTTATTTTTAATGCTTTGGCAACTGTGTGTAGAAGCTGACTAAAGCTTTTTATTTTTTCCTCCGAAGGTCACTGCTTCAGGAGATCAGACAGCCAAGGTGTGGGATGTGAGAGCCAGCGAGCTTCTTGGCATATGTAAAGGTCACCAGTGTAGCCTCAAGTCTGTTGCTTTTTCTAGGTTTGAGAAAGGTAAATGTTGATATTCCCTGTTGTCGGTTTTTTCCTTCTTCTTTCCTCCTGCACATTGGTACTTTGGGGGCTAAAAAAGGGCTTTGGAAACTGACAGTTACAAATAGCACAGTCCAACTGAGCAGCGACCCAGCCAGTGAAGCAAAACTAACTTGTTGGAACTTCAGAGCAACCTGATGCTACCATCTGCACATTCCTGATCTTGGGCAAGTTTAAGATAAGATACCTACTTCCATACATAAGTGTGTAAATACTCTTTTTGTAAGCAGGTTTCTCTAGAGTAGTAGTAAAAAAAGAATAAGGAGAATAAGGAAACTAGTTAAAAATCATGCCAGAACAATGGCCCGACTTTTGTATTTCTAGGACTGGCATCCCAAGTGCTGGGGCAGAGGAGCCAGAGGCACATAGATGGCATTGTGCTGCATTCAGTTAATTAAATTAACACTTTTGGAAGCTAATAGCACTCTTTTTCTCTCTCTCAGCTGTCTTCTGTACTGGAGGCAGAGATGGAAACATCATGGTTTGGGATACCAGATGCAACAAGAAAGGTAACTGAACTTTCAGATATGTATCAAAAAAGCTCAGCATCTCATATAAAGGTAGTACTCAGATGTACTTGTTGGAGTAATGCTTTCGTTTACAATACAGGCAACACTTCAGTAAGAAGAGAAGGATTGTCAGATAACAGTGTACTGCTTTGGTACAGTAATAGGATGGAATAGGTATTTCTTCTATGTATAATACATTTTTCCACTTTGTAACAGTCTCAGATTTGCAGCACGATGTAGGTGCTGGCCTGATAATACCCTGTGTATTGGTAAGGAGATAAGGGGTACAGAATACATCCCTTTGTGGGACAGCACAGAGATAGATGGGCTGGGTGAGAGTGCTTGGGTCAGAGCCACCTGGAGGGATGAAGCAAACCTGGGAAGGCTCCTGCCAGAGTAGGAAGGAAGACAGAAAGTGCAGGAGCAAAGGAGCTTGTGAGCGCTGGGAGCAACTGAATATATTGTGGGAACACCTAACCTACTAAATGCAGGGTGAGCTCATTCTACTCCTCTCTTTCTGTTTCCTGGAGCTTTTCATTCCCTGGTCAGGTCATGCCCTTAGGCCTCTTCCCAGTTCCCTGCTCTGTCCCAGCAGTTTCCTGGCCTGTGCTGCCAGGACATGTCTCACTGTTCCATCTGTCTCAGGTTCTCTGGCTCTTCAAACTTGCAAGTGCAGGAAAAGGGAGGCTCCACATGATTGAAGTGGAAGGTACAGGAAAAAAAGCAGAAAAGTTGCTTTACTCTAGGAAAGCAGTAAGTTTCATAAAGTGAGAAGTAGCAGACAAAAGGCTAAATAGAAAATTATAATATAGAGTGGAAAAGCACTGGAGACCTTCCTGTGAGTGCAGTTCTGCTCGAGATGAGATGGGTTGAATGCTCCAGACCAGAATCCATGCTGAAGACCAAACCAAGGGGTAATGATTTCCAAAGGCAGCCTGCCTAGATCAGTTTTAGTTTCAATGTCCACGCTACTTTGACCTCTGTAATTTTTTGCAATATATGGTCCTGTTTTGTAGTGTGTTCTTCTCGTCAGTTTTGTATCTAACTAACATTTTTTGTTTTCAGAACACATTTAAATGATTTTATAGGTTGGTCTCAGCCACTTTTTAGGACTTACTCCAAGCTGATGCCTGTTTTATTAAAGTGATAGCAAAATTGCATAGAAACTATTAATTGACATGTCTTTGATTTCTTTCAGATGGATTTTATAGGCAGGTGAATCAGATCAGTGGAGCACACAATGTGGTTGACAAGCAGACTCCTTCCAAACCAAAGAAGAAGAGGCAGAACCTAAGAGGGCTTGCTCCCTTGGTTGTAGGTATCTGGGGAGCAAACAAAATGTAGGCCTGTCTTCTGAGGACAATGTTAGTCATAGAAGTCTTCCTAAGTAACTATCATGAGAAATAATTGTCCTGAATGTGGTAACTGCTTCTGTTTTCTTTGCAGAGGTAGGTTTTTGTGTCATGGTCACTTGCTATGGCTCATTTTAGACATTGTTTAGTTGTCTAACAACCCACGTGCCATCAGAGCCATCTTTGTGCAAAAGCCATGTGAAAATACATATTTTTTTTTTCTGGGGAGGAACAGAGTGGTCAGCATTCCTTTTTTAAGGGGGATATAGGGAGAGTTGTAATTTTTTTCCTTTCTTTTTTTTTCTCCCTAATTTGACCACAATAATTACTGCCTTACTGGAGTAAGGCCTGATCTTATTTAATCTATTAAACCTTGCAATGAAGGCAGCTCTGTTAGCTCTGACCTGAGAGGTATAATGTCAAACTGCTGCCCAAACACTTATTGCTCAGTGGCAATTTCACTGGTGGGAGTGTTCAAAGGATTGTTGTGTCCTAAATGGCATCTAGTATTTCCAGGTTCTCCTGCCTGACTATGAGGAGGTTTTCTTGGTATTCACTTGGCCTTGAACTAAGCAGCAAAATCTTGCTGACCTTGAAAGAAAA